CACAGACAACACAAGGAAAGTGTTCTTCCGTCGACATTTCCCCGTGAACTCGGTGATCTTTGCTGGTATGGATCCGGCCGACAGAAGGTGAGTTTTGAATTGTCATGCATGAAGAGAGCTTCCAGGAAAGGGACATATGGGTTTTACACCAATGCTATAGAAGTATTATGGAAGAAAATTGAAAAAATGAAAAAGTGTGTAAAGTAAAAGGAAATTGTGTGAAACGAATGGCCGTGAAATTCGAACTGGTGGGATAACATGGAAATCAAATGGTTCGCTAGACTTTTACCTTGGAGCTTATTCCGCGATGACCTTGTGGGTGGAGTTGGATCTCTGAATTTCCTTCCTTGATGTGCTCTTCTTTTTTTCCATTTCAAAAGCAGAGGCTTGTTGGCGAGAGAAGCGCACTGTGTAAGATAGTCTGCCCATACGATCGACAAGTGTGCCCTAAATTTAATGTAGCAAAATGCTTCATGATATTGTCTCGAGAATTTTGTGATAATTTTTTACAGATTCGATAACAACTGCGTGATTGGTTTCCACGATGCGTGCATGAAAACTGCTCGGTTATTTGCGATCGTTGCCAGAAAGGTTAGTGACTCTTCAATTTTTTGGTCATCAAATTGGCGAATTTCCGAAGAGCAGAAGGGAAATATGTTTCTAGAAGGGGAGAGGAGAGGGCGCAGATGCACTTTCTTTGATTTGTAGTTCATCTGACGTCTTTTCCTTATCACCCATATTCCTATTTTATGAAGAGCAGATCCTCGAGTAATGAGATACCTGTATTTCTGCCAACTCTTCTTCTCAGTGTGAGATTGAACCCTTCTAAGTGCATCTGAAACGATTCTTTTAGAGGCACTTTGTAGGCTCGTATGTGACGGTGGCCCAGCCTCCATTGTGCCTCCATCATGGCGCACCCCTTAAACGTTTTAGGGACATGGATAGGCACCAACTGCGTAGTAGGCCTCTAGCTCCACGCAGAAAGTAATATTTCGGGATTGTTAGATTACTTTACAGCCTGTTTGCCGCTTCCTCCTTGCCATCGCCCCCCCACCCACACGACCCTTCTGAAGGGCCTTGCTAGAGGTTGAAACGATCGCCCACTGTGTTATATTTCAGCCGTCGTCAATGGAAAACGCCTGCCATGTATTCTCCGAATTCGAGCCTGAACAACCAGCGACGGCCGTCGTGAACTTCATCAATAAAGTCCTATTCGCCAGCAGGCGTTCATGACAGCGCTACGGCTTATGGTGAAGCCACGCCCCCTGATGAGACCGCCACGCCCAATTCGTAAATTGTCTGCTGGTAAACGTCTGATGCATGGAACAAGTATTATAGAGCATTAGATTGTCTATAGACCCTTTTAACACTTGAATATTAGATCCACCTCATATATTTGCCATGAGGGGAAATTCGGCAGCGACTGGAGAGATTTTGTCGATGGATTTTGAGTTCAGAGGGATTTTATTATGAAATGCCTTCTCAGTAATGTGGTGAGATCCAGAAAATCTCGCCCACCCCTGCCGAATTCGTTCCCTACTTTGCATTACCGGATATTTGAAATCATAATACATTGTTCAGCATTTGCTACATCGTCATAACTTGCTCAGATTTTAAAAGCTGGGATAAGGTAGGGTAGAAATTAGCCATGGTGAAAATTGGGGTTAAACACGACAGTAGACAAGTTTTGATGTGGTCTTGGCCATCCTTTCCAAGTCCTGTTTAGGATCCCCCTGTCGTTTACCCTATCACGGTTGAATTTCGCCGACCATCAGCTGAGATTGCACGTGCTTCTATTGATTTGTGTCCGATGATAATGACTAGTTTAAGCTAATATTTAAAAGCCTTGGACAGCCATCGTTTGTTTATTATGATCTATTCTGCTAGACTCTACGGTGCTTAACAGCTTTTATATTGAAATTTATTTCTGAGGCTAATATTTATATAGTACTGACCCATCAGGGCTTCCTATAGACTTTTTCCAATGACATAATTGTTCCCTTAGGTCATCTTCCATATTCATTGCGGAGCTCGTAGCATGTTTTTAGACCATCAATTTCCCACATGCTCACCATTTCAAGCTCTTCTCGTGTGTTGATTTATCTTCACGTTGTATTTTCTCAATACCAAGGATTCTAAGCCTTATCGAGTGTCTTCGCGGTGAACCAGATCGCTGTCTTAATGCTTAAGACTCTAGTCAACGTTCACTCATACAATAGCTAAGCACAGATTTTATCCGAAATACTTGTATATATATGAGGCTAATAAAGGATAATTTTACTGTACACTTGAAATTTAGAGAGAGCTTTGTTTGAGTTTTTTACGCATATGAAGTTGATAACGTCGCAATCAGTCAGCTGGGGCGGAATCGTCTTCGGCTGTTCGTCTCTACCAACGGTGATTCCGGAAGAAAACAGCTAGTGGTGGGAACGTCGAAAACTCTCTTTCCATCCCTATTCCACTGTAGTCTGCGAGTTTCTGCAACACCGAAATTCCCCGCAAACCTAGTTCTAGCTGGTGGTCCAAGTCGATTGCGACTTTAGCACTTAAGCGGAACCTGAGGCTGAAAGGCTTGGAAGGGTGAACTAAAACCTGTCGAAAGGCGAGGCCGTGGTCAGGACACAATTGTCGTCACCTGACATGTAGAACTTTGTCCTTGTACAAGATGTCCGCTTGTAGCAAGACTCCAAATCTCAGAGTGGTCTGCGTCTGCAGTGATAATGAGGAAGCTGCAGTCGTCTCGAGAGGACCGCCACCTTCAACAATTGCCTCACCCGTTTGAGCCTGACCTCACGAGGTGCGCCAGCTTCCTTATACAGGGAGGGGGACCAATAAAAAAAGACACTTTTCTTCCTTGACATTGGAGGCGCCATATAAGTTACACTTTAATACAATTCTGATCGGACTTTTCACTACCATTGAGAGCTATTAAATACTATCATATACTCCGCCGCAGCCCTCTGGACCACTGCCACCGAGAGATTCTGCCACGCAACCATGGTTCGGTGCCTGAGTTCATCGGGGTCGTCGATTTCTCCGCCACTGTAGAACGCATCGCTATTTGAACCTCCGCCCGAACCAGTTAATTGAGGGAGGGGGGGGGGAGGGGTTCACGGCAGTGGTACCAGCTGAGATATTCCGTTTTCTTCAGGTTTCTCCACAACGCCTCGCAGTTCGAGTAGACGAGAAGTTTTCCAACGCCCTCCGATTCCATGTGGGGGACCCCAAGCTCAGACGAGTACAAAGTTTTCCAAGAATGATGGGCGCACCGACATTAGGGAGGATATTCATTCTTCGGAGTTGCTTCGATGTAAACGCGTCACCTTTACTCAGGTCACACGAAAGAAAATATTCGTTCGTCAACATTTCAGGAAAGTCAGTCATACAACCGACCCGCGCGCGAAGATGATATCTGGACCGGTAACGACGTTATCGGAGCAACTCGATGTTGGGAAGTCTTTTAAGATTAAGAGCATTGTCTCAAAGGTAGCTAATCTATGGTGGATCCCGACCAAAGGTCTTCTAAAGTGAGGCTGCGACTGGAGATGACTTCATATTTTGGTGTACAGGAAGGTGATGGGCGAGTGCCAGCCAGGGCACGCCATCTTTGTGATCATCACAACGAGGGGGGGGGTCGTAAACGCATGGCCCATGTTGAAGTGGAGAGAGCGGTGATACACGGTACAAGTGAAAAGAAGCTCAAAAGGGACGATGTAGATGACAATAAATAGAACTAGGCACTATCGAACTATTCCTAGGCCAAGAACTAAAAAAAATATTGCTGAAACTTTTTCCTCCTTCTCACAAAAAAACTTCAAGACACTTCGCCCACCAACCCTCCTCATCTGGTCTAGATAAATCCCAATCCACTAATCCGCAAAATCTAGAAGAATCCATTGCAAAAGCTACCTATGAAACCGTAGAAATTGAATCCTGAGCAATTTCCTCACAACAAAACCAAACTCAACAAAACAAAATCAAAATCAACAAAAACAAACAATCAAAATAATTCACAATCAAATGGATAAGAAAAAACTCACCAGGCCAGCTGGGAACCGGAACTATGGATTACTTTTGAATTTTGGCTGTTCGCGTCAGCACGTCCCATACAAGCTACTGGAGCGGGAATTGAGTAGAGCTAGGTTGGCTCTTGTCACCTGAATTGAGCGATTTCAAAAACGTTCCGATTCCAGAGATTTTCCCCGTTGTGATCATCGTTGTGATCCGTCTGTGATCATTTTTGCGAACCGCGAGTCGCTTACATTTGGAGTCGTAATGGCAAAGCTTTCATATACGGCTTCGCTGAAAAAAATGAATATGGTGGCCTGGAACCGAAAATTCTAACTTTCCAGGCAATGCTTTAATTTTCTTCCTAGGCCTGCTATTCGAAGAGAAATTCCTCGCTGCGGGATCATGTTTGTGACCGCCACCGCCCACGCAACGGCAGCTGAAATAACAGCCCATCCGGGCCATGAAACCTCCAGTTGGCTTGATGACTTTTGGTATATGCTTCTAAATACACAATGTTTTCGTAGAAGCGAGTATCAAGAAATAGTCCATTCGCGGCCAAAGGTATCCACCTCTGCAATCGCCATGCATGGGGCTTTCACGCAGGTGTTTGAAAGGTGTAACTTCTAGATAGGGCTTCCCAATTGCAAGCAAATGTGCTCCTACGATCAGAAAAGTCCGGGAATGTACTTTCATCTGTTTATTAATCGTCACGTCGTGAGTCCTTTTGCTTTATAAATTCATGGTGCCCTTGTGGGCGGTGATTGTAGCTCCTATCATCCGCCCCTTCCGTATTGTCAGTATGCTACACAGACTCACGCCAGAGGCTGTAGACGTGTGTTGGGACCGTACGTACGGTTACTGGCGACCTCCCCCCGTCGACAGCAAATTTTGTAAAAACCAGAAATTGCTTGGAAAAAGAGGACAAGAGTTAGGGAGGTTGAGAAAAAATCTCTACCCTTGGGAAGAGGTAACGATGTGGGAGGGGGGTCGCTACCTGAAATGGAAATCAGGGGGTGTAATTTTTCAGGAATGAATCACAACACTGAATGGCGTGCCCTGTTGCCAAGCTCCCTACTTATTAGAGGAACACGCTTGGTTATGCTGTCTAATCCGGCTACTAAGTATCCACGTCTCCTGTCTGGGCTCGAAATTATTGTCTGATTGTGACTCGGTCGAAGTGTCTTTTTTTTATTGGCCCCCATGATATATAAGCACAACCGTTGACAACATGCTATTCCATTTCTCCTAGTACCACTTCTACCTTCTCACCCCCATGGCACCCTCCCCTCCGTCAGTTCTCCCACTCTGTTAGCCTCTTTGTGTCACTGACGCTTTTCATTCGCGTCCCCGATTCTTCTTTAGGATTTTCCCGGTAGTACTGTAACTTTAAAGGAACATTTGTAAATGTTGCGCATGCCTCAAGAGCCACAATGTCTCGCAGTGTGTGGGGCTAGTACTGAATGAGACGTCCTCCTTTCTAGGACTGCAATTCTTTATTTTCATTATTTGCAACGACAGGTGGAAAAGAATCTCAGGCGCATAGTAATGGAGGGGAAACGAAAAGAGAGTCAATGGATCACTTGGCTCCAAGCAGTCAGTTTTTGAGATGCGCCGCGCTTAAAGTTATGTTTGAGTTTGTGACATCTTTCAAATGAGTTGCACAGTTATTGCTTGCATGAGCCAGGATTCTTAGACTTCTATCCTCCTGAATAAGACTGCAAAGATTGAGGGATGGAGGGGTGTTATGCAGTAAAGCTCTGATTCACAACCTGAAACATGTGCTATCAATCCAACAAAAAAAAAACAAAAAAAATGTGCTGGTGGATCTGATTTATTTTGTATGCCAAGCTCACTAATCACTCGGTGCCTTTACACTGGCGAGCTTGACATGCTACCACAATAAGCTGCGAGGAAAAACTTATAACTTCGCTCAGGGAATCTTCCTGCATTTCTGGATAGAGCAGAATCCACGACAAATGCAAGAAGGAATAATATCATGTGATGTTTGAGCCATGCCACAGGCGAGAGCGACGAATGCTATACTGGAGAACAGCAGCACCGGTGAGAGGTGTTGGGAAGTAATCCGGTTATGTAAGAGAGAATGGTCTTGCGAGAGCCTGGAGGATCAGCCCGGCAGCTGGGCCACGGAGTAGAAGTTTCGAAGTCTTGCTCATTGGGTGAATTTGGGAGCAGCAGTGCCTGGCGAAGGCAGAAAGCGAGTG